CCCGGCTTGTTGCACATTCTTGTTTTGATGGCTAAGGTGAACATCCTCCAGACGGTCTTATTTTGCTTCCTGTACCTGACCGATGAACTGTGACTTACGAAAATGTAAATATCACCAAGCAGAGACAGACATAGTTGCATCCCTCATTTGCATAAAGGCGACCTGAATGAAGACATTGTTGGGAAATTCCTGTTTGAAAGTTATTTCTGTTCCTTTTGAGTGCACTTCTGTTTTATAATGAGTCTGTGACTCCTGAGTTTGCAAACTTTTGTTTCATTAAAATAAAGCCCTTTCTTTCTTGAACTCTTTCTTAGTGCATTCTGGTTGACAGGAATTACTAAAGAAGCTGTTGTTAGAACACTGGTAGAAATATTCACAGCAAAGGCAATTAGGATGAGGTCTCAGGTAGAAATGAAGAACAAGATATTGGAAACTGGAGTCTAATTCTTCCATATTTTACAGTTTCAAAGAGCTTAATGGAATAGTGCTCATACCTTATGAGTTGTGGAAGGCAGATCTTAAAAGCAATTAGCTATGTTGCAGAAATAGTTATCTAAGCAGTAAAGTGACCCAAAGCTCTCAAAGGGATTTCTTTGGCTTCTTAAGGTAAAATGAGAGAAGACAGAAAGAACTAAAAGCAAGAATGTATGATTAAAAAGGTGGTAAAATGGCAGTATTTGGAAAATTCTCAGCATAGATAAGTAAAAATAATAATCTTCAGAAGAGAAGGAAATGGTATGGCCAAGTCTTTCTTTGCTAAAGAAATTAATACAGACAGATGACGGGCAGGTTCTGTCATCACGACCGTGGAAGAGTGGCCCTGAGGCTATGGAAGACGAGGCTCCCAGAGAAGTGCCCGTGGGGTCTCAGCATTTACGGCCCTGTGCTGCCTTGGGATTCTGCTCTGAGAATTCTGTACCCTCATCCTTCATGGCTCGAGTGGGTCCATTTGTGATTCAAGCCAACATGCCAGAATGTGTAAGCTGTGCACCTTGGTGTCGTTGGTGTTGTGCTAATTCTTCAGGTGCACAGAATATGGAGCTATAGAACCACAGTGGTCTCTACCCAGATTTCAAAGGATGCATTGCACCTCCTGGGGGTCCATGAAGAGATTTGTTACAGGGCCAGAGCCACTCCAGGGTGGCCTCTGAGGCAGTGCCAAGAGGGACAGAGTCCCCATTAAGGCAGTGTCTAGTGGACCTATGGCAGTGGGCCAGCCCCCGACACCACAGAAATACAGAGGCCCAAACTTGCAACACCACCTTGGAAAGCTTAGGGCCTAACTTGGAAGATGCTGAGTGGACTGAACTCAGCAGTCCATGGGGACAGAGCTTCCTGAAGCCCTGTAGCATGAGATGCATGGAGTTAAAGAGGGCTGTTTTCCAGCTTTAAGAATTTCCAAGTTGGGTTTTGGAATTAATTGGGGCCAGTTAACCCTCTCATATTACCTTCTCCTCCCATTTACAATGGTAATCTTTATCCTATACTTGTCCAATCATTGTATTTTGGAAGCTGAAAACCTTTTTAGTTTCAGAGTCTCACAGTGGGGTGGAAATTTGCCACAGCATGAGTCTTACTTATATACGATTTGGAACTCTGATCTTTGGAGTTCTGACTTGATGCTTTCAAAGCTTAAACTTTGGGGGTTCTTGATATGGAATGAGTTGTTTTGCATGAGAAAAATATGAATTTGGGAGGCTGGGAACAGAATGTTAAGGGGTGAATGTGTCCTGAAAAGTGCATGTCTTATAAACTCCAATGAAACAGTTTTGAGAGGTGGATCATTTAAGAGATGATATGGTCATGAGGGTCCTGTCCTCATAAATGGATTAATGTCTTTATAATAGGAATAGGCTCATTTGTGTATATTGGGCTTGTTATAAAAGCCTCTCTCTCTCTCTCTCTCTCTCTCCTCTTCCCTCCATGACATGATCCAACAATTTAAACCCCTCAGCACTGGACTGCATAAAAGAAACTTAAAATCAAGACATATTTGGGGGAAAGAATTAGGGAAAAGCTGTAGGTGGAGGAAACCTTACATGGCTAATTAAGCAAAACAGAAGGAAAGATGAAATCTATGAAATGTAGGAAAAGACTCCAATAGACTGAATTTCCTTGTTGATTGGATTTCAGTTTCGTAAGATGCTAACCTTTACAGTCTCTCTGTACCCCTACTAAGGGTACATACTTTGAACCTTATGATGTGACTGGTTTTAACTACTTTTAATTTACAGAAGGGTTTCACATGCTTTACTCCCACTTGTGAGTCTGTTCAAACAGCGTCAAGCCAGAGATGTGGGAGGTGTAGGGTAAGCTGAGAGGAGAGAAAGGTTGAAATGAGGGTCATAATGAGAACTAACCTGTCCTGGGTTTTCAAAAGACGGTTTGAGCACTTTAAGGAAGCAAAGAACAACCCACAGGTGCTCCTTATCTGTGGGGTTATTTTGAGCATTTACTGCTCTGGGTCATGTGCAGGGTACTTTCCACAGGAGAAAGAGAGCTCCCCAGCCCCAACTTCATCAGAGCTCCTGCGGCACAGAGGCACGAGCTTCCTAAACACCAGAGTTCAGGGAAAAAGAGGAGACAACGAAAGACGCCTCTTGGCGCATCCTCACACGTCATAAGGCAGCGACGTCAGACTTTCTTCCCAGAGGGGCTCTTGCGGTCCCATTTTACTCCACATGTAATTTCCAGAGAAACCTTTCCTCTTTCTGGAGTAACTCAACAGGATGAAGGCAAGGGCTGAACAGGAAATTATCTCACCACTATTATGTTCAATCCTTTCAAATCTCTGAGAGAGTCTGATGCAAGGCTGAAGAGGTTTCTTTGGAGAAGAGTGGGGAAGAAATGGACTAAGTGGAGGCCCATTGTGCAGCTCTCATGGAAAGGATAATAATCAAGGCTCCTTTCAGAAATGATTTGAGATTCATGTGGAAAGAACAAGTGGTCACAGAAAAAAAAAAGCAAAGCACAGCTTTGTAAGGAACCTGGCCTGGACAAAGTGATCGAACGAACTCCCTGCCTTCTCCCACCCACGCATAGTAGCTCAGCACCTGAGCGGTGCACTTACGTCGGGTGTCCCTGACCAAAGCCACAGGAGGGCTCAGCACCATCAGTGTCACTGTCAGAACTGCCACACCGGAGCCTCTGGGGAGCCACAGACACGCCATGCTGGAGAACAAGAGAGAGCTGGCTCAGAGAGGAGCAGGGAAATCTCACTGAGTGAGTGCTGTGATCCTTCTTGGCCCCGGTCCCAAATACTGAGAAGCAAGATACTCATTCGTGTGGTGCTGGGTGGGTAATTTCAGTGTTGAAGAACCAATCAGCATCAAAGATGTGTGGCATCATTAGTTGGTGGTCAAAGATTCAGTATGAAGATCCTTTTCTGAAACTTTCAGTATATTCCATTAAAAGGATTATCTTTAGTATTTCAAAAGTTTGATCCACTTTCACCTGAAACACTTAGATTCATCCACTATGATGAGTCAGCTCTGCCAAAGTCAGTCTTTGACATAAAACCTTAGGATAACTAATATCTTATGTGAGTGTTCAATTCCTTAGTCCTGGTTCCTGTTATGATTCCCTCATTTTATTGAAGACATGATTTTTTTAATCTTTCTATTTCTCCCACTTTATCTGAAGAAAAGATATGAAAAGACTTTGTTAATCAATATACTATAAAATTTGCAGGACATAGAAAAGTATGAAAAAATTATGAATTGTATCATTTGATGCAATCATATAATTTAAAATATATAATTCTTCTATTAGATCATTATTACACATATACATCACATTAATGTAAACCTGAAGTCTCAGATTCAGAATGAACTTTAAATGACAACTATACATATAAAACAGCATTGATTCACAGTCTATGACAGTGTTGACAGGAAGTCATTGTGTGTTTCAACATTTCTAGTGGCAGGAGTCATCATGCTGCGATGAAAATTACAAATCTGTTGAGTGAGATTTGAGCATTTTACTTTTAACTCAGAATTGTCCTTATGGATTTTTATGTATCATGTTTTTTTAAATTTTATGATCACCTCAGTACAGTAAGGGGAGTAATTCTCTCACCACCACATACGGAGAGAATAAATAATGGTGATTGAACAACTGCAAGAATACAAAACTAGGAAATTGTCTATTCTAGGTTGTACTGAGGTATAAAATTCAATGGCCACAATTTCTGTTATTATATCATACTATTCATGTTCAGTCTCCAAAGAGAATAATGCCCCTTATATTAAAATTATTTTTCTCATTTTGGATTTTGGCTATACATATTAGTAATGCTACTACTTCTAATGAATGACAGTGTTTCATATAATCTGGGCCAATGACTGCATAGGAATTCCAGTTTCTTCAAAAGAGGCACTGCATCTCCATCATTACTCTTCTCTTGAGATGAAATATTTGGATCTATGACATGTAATGACACGCATGGCTCCACACAAGTTCCCTTGTTACAAAAGTTAATAATGTTTTCAAAATTCCTACATCCAGTCACCTGCAGTGTAGCTCAATGGCTGAAGGCTAAGAACTAAATTCTGCATGTTGTACACATTTATGAGTTACAGCAATGTGCTGCTTTGAATGTTCTGTATCTTCAATCCTATTCAATATGAGGTCAGTTTTGATAAAATAATAAGTAAGTGTTACCATCAATCCCATGTGTAATCTTTAGGTCAACTCTCATCACTGTAAGAAGGTAAGAAGTAGTCCTCTCCACTTCTGCCGTGTGTGTGACAGGTGTCAATGGTAGTTTATCTCCTGAGGAAAATGGGGTTAAATTCACTTCTGGCAGAAAGTGGTTATCAGTACAGAAATTTTCTGCAGACTCTGACCTTGATGTATGCGAGTTATTTTTAGTTAAATAAATCACAATACCCGAGAACAAAAAGGTGAAACCCGAATACAGACAATATACTATAAAATTTGCAGGACATAGAAAAGTATGAAAAAATTATGAATTGTATCATTTGATGCAATCATATAATTTAAAATATATAATTCTTCTATTAGATCATTATTACACATATACATCACATTAATGTAAACCTGAAGCCTCAGATTCAGAATGGACTTTAAATGACAACTATACATATAAAACAGCATTGATTCACAGTGTATGACAGTGTTGACAGGAAGTCATTGTGTGTTTCAACATTTCTAGTGGCAGGAGTCATCATGCTGCGATGAAAATTACAAATCTGTTGAGTGAGATTTGAGCATTTTACTTTTAACTCAGAATTGTCCTTATGGATTTTTATGTATCATGTTTTTTTAAATTTTATGATCACCTCAGTACAGTAAGGGGAGTAATTCTCTCACCACCACATACAGAGAGAATAAATAATGGTGATTGAACAACTGCAAGAACACAAAACTAGGAAATTGCCTATTCTAGGTTGTACTGAGGTATAAAATTCAATGGCCACAATTTCTGTTATTATATCATACTAAATTTTGGCTACATATTAGTAATGCTACTACTTCTAATGAATGACAGTGTTTCATATAATCTGGGCCAATGACTGCATAGGAATTCCAGTTTCTTCAAAAGAGGCACTGCATCTCCATCATTACTCTTCTCTTGAGATGAAAAATTTGTG